TTGATAGGATGAGCACTGGGTGTTTACTATAGCTTTAAAAAGGTCTTAAGGGCAGCCCCGGTGGCGCAGCGGTTTAGCGCCACCTGCAGTCTGGGGTGTGATCCTGGAGACTAGGGATGGAGTCCCACATGGGGCTTCCTGCATGGAGCCTGCTTCTCCCTCCGCCGGTGTCTCTGCCTCTCTCTTCGCTCTCTCTGAATGAATGAATAAATAAATCTTTTTTTTTTTTTTAAAAAGGTCTTGAAATTGAGTAAAGTTGCATAACTTCTAAATTTGTTCTTCTTTCTCAAAATTGTTTTGTTTATTCTATGTTCTTTGCATTTTCTTATCAACTTTAGGATGAGCTTGTGAATTTCTACAAATAAGCTTGATAGGATTTTAATAGGAATTAGATTGGGGCAGCCCGGGTGCCTCAGCAGTTTAGTGCCACCTTCAGCGGGTGTGATCCTGGAGACCAGGGATAGAGTCCCACATCCGGCTCCCTGCATGGAGCCTGCTTCTCCCTCTGCCTGTGTCTCTGCCTCTCTGCCTGCCTCTTTCTCTCTCTCTCTCTCTCTCTCATGAATGAATGAATGAATGAATGAATAAATAAATAAATCTTTTTTTAAAAAAAGGAATTAGATTGACTCTACAGATCAGTTTGGGGAGAACTGTGGTCTTAATATCTTTTTAATGGAGTCTTCTAATCCATATACATGGTACCTATCTCCATTTATTTAGGTCTTCTTAACTTCTCATGTTTGTGTATAAAGTAAAAAAAAGTATCCCTAAAAACAGTGTAGAATATCTAGAGAAGATTCAATCTGGAGATTAATATATATTATCTATCCAACAATTTAATTCGGGCAATGTCTGGGATTTCTACTACCCTCCCTCTACCCAAGTACCTCCAGCAGTAGTTTTGAAGACCAATGCACAATGCACATAATCAGAATTGTTACTGCTGAGAATACATTTTTTTATAAGAGCATTTTTGAAGCAGAAAACAAGTCCACAACTACAAGGTGCAGATAGTCATTTTGTTGAGTGGGAATTAAATAAAAATTTTAGACATCTCAATGACGTATTTAATTTGAATAGTTTGATTAATTACTGCTGCTTATCTTCTCACACAGGAACAGATTTCCAGCCCATCTTGGATAATGATAAAAATCACTTCTGAAATGTTTACTGGGTATCAGGCATTCTTTTAAGCACTTTAATGATAAAGTACTTTAATCTTAATAATTCTAAGGGATAAGGAATATTGGCCCTATTTTACACATAAGGTCACTCAAGTCCAAAGAAGTTGAGTAACTTGTCCAAGGTCATACAGCTAAGAAGTAGTGGAGCCAGAATTTAAACCTAGGCAGTTTAGTTGCAGAATTCATTTTCTCAACCACTCGGTAGCATAAGAGAGCAAAGCATTTCATATAGGATTTTCAGACCTCTGCTTCCAGTAATGGAAGACTGAGTAATTCTGATCAACTCTCTCGGACAACGAAATATTTTTTAAAAACTAATCAAATATATATTAAATTAACAAAGGGTAGGGAATTAACAGTCCATAAAAGGCAGAAATAAGAGAAGTAAGCCATACTTGAGGCTGCTTTTACCATAGAGACATTTGCCAATTCTGACAAGATGGCTAAGAGGCTGTTCAACCTTTTTACTAGTTTTATAAAGGTAAACAAACAAAAGTCAGGAGTTCATGGTGTGTCAAGAGCGAGAGCCCTGGTTAAATCCTCAGGATTGGAACCCAGAAAGGCTGAATCCTAGGAATAAGGGTGAACCAGAAATAAACCCAAACTTTCATGGACTGTAGCCCAGTTTCTAGTCATCTGGGTAGATCAGAAAATATCAATCCCTGAAACTGGATTAAGGGGATTCTGTCATGCTGGTTGCTTCTTCTAGGCATTTAAGAACAAAGAAAATCCTCTCTGAAGAAAGATACTATTATCTGAAGTTTCAAGTTCTTTCTACAATTTTTTCCAATAAAATAGTGGTACATAGTCAAAGAAAATCAGGCATAAGAGAAAACAAGACAAGTAGAAATAATGTAGCAGGAAAAAACACATTAGAGAAATAGATATAGAAATTCCAGATATGTGAATTATCAGACTTTAAGTTAACTACTTTAACCTATTTTCAAAGAGATAAAAGAGTATATTTTAATTTTGGCAGGTAATTACAAACTATAAATAAAACAGGATATGTGAAAAATAAACAGAAATTCAAGAACTGAAAACTGTTTCAAAGGAGTGAAATCACAGAGTATATGTTCTCTAGCCACAATGCAATTATGCCAGAAATCACTGATAAAAAGATAATCTTCACATGTTTGAAAATTAAAAAAGAGCTGAATGGGATAAATATATCTCTAAATCAAAATGGAAATCAAGATGGAAATTAGAAAATATGTTGAATTAAGTTAAAAAACATTGCTATACAATGCAATTAAAATTATACTTAGAGGTTTATGGACTTGAATAAATATATTAGAAAGAAGAAAGGCTGAAAAATAATGTATTAATCTAAGTATGTATATAAAAAGATACAGGAAATAAAAAATAATAAAATAGAGCCAAAGAAAGATGAAGAAAGGCCATAAAGAGCAGGAAAGAATGAACCAGGAAACGAATAGACCGGATTGAAAAAGCCAGAGCTTGGTTCTTTACAAACTAATAAAATTGATAGGTCCCTGCAGAATCTAGTTAAGAAAATTAAAAAAAAAAAGATAACTAGTATTAGGAACTAAACAGTGGATATTACAACTGATCCTGCAAACATTAATAGGGTAACAAAAAGGATTTTATGAAATCTTTATGCCAATAAATTTCAAAATTTTGATGAAATAAATTCCTAGAAAAATACAACAAAACCAACACAAGAAGAAAAAATTTGAATAGTTATAGGATAGTTAAGGAAACTAAACTTGTTTTTTTTTTTTTTTGGAAACTAAACTTGTAATTAACCTATTAAACTAATCAGTGAGATGAAATTTGTAATGAAAATTCTCATAAAGAAAACTCCAGAATCAGGGACGTCTGGCTGGCTCAGTTGGTAGGTAGAGCATGTGACTCTTGATCTTAGGGTTGTAAGTTTGAGCCCACATTGGGTAAAGAGATTACTTTAGAAAAATAAAATCTTTAAAAAAAAAAAAAGAAAAGAGGGATGCCTGGGTGGCTCAACGGTTGTGTGTCTCCCTTCCGCCCAGGGTGTGATCCTGGAGTCCTGGGATCGAGTCTCACATCCGGCTCCCCTCATGGAGCCTGCTTCTCTCTCTGCCTGTGTCTCTGCCTCTCTCTATGTGTCTCTCATGAATAAATAAAATCTTAAATAAATAAATAAATAAATAACTCCAGATTCAGATAGCTTTATCAGCAAATTCTACTTACCATTTAAGGCAGAAATAAGTCTAATTTTTTTTATAAAGATTTTATTTATTCATGAGAGACACAGAGAGAAAGAGAGGCAGAGACATAGGCAGAGGGAGAAGCAGGCTCCATGCAGGGAGCTGGATGTGGGACTGGATCCCGAGACTCCAGGATCACACCCTGGGCTGAAGGTAAGCGTTTAACCACTGAGCCACCAACACGTCCCAAATAAATCTAATTTTACACAAATTATTCCAGAGAATTTAAAAAGAGAGAGAGAAACCACTCCTTATTTTATAAAGCCAACAATTAATAGTGTAGACAAAAAATTAAGAACAAAAGAAAATGAACATAATTAACGTTACAACACTGGTTATCTCTAGGCAGGAGGGAAAACATGTAACTGGGAAAGGGCAGGCAGGTGGACTTTTGAAGACTGGCCATGTGGTTTCTTGAGCTCAGTGGTAGTTTCCATTCATTTGCTTTATAATAAATTACTAAGACTCACATTTCTGCTTTTTACACTTCACTGTATATATAATTCATTATAAAATTTGTATTTAAATTTTGGGGGCCAGTGTCACTTAATAAGAGAATGGTATGAATATTTGTTGACTGTCATTCTTAGATTTCAGTATTTTTCTTGACTCTATCTATACTTTAATAGACTTACAACTTCCACTTTTTGGAGATTATCTTTTAGAGATTAATCTCTTTAATGTTTACTTGCTTCCAAATTCCATTAACACACATTATACTGGAATCAATAGTGATAATTACATTTAGTAATAAAGGTACCTATTCTTGAATACTCTATACTTCTTAACATGGAGCATTACTTTCAAAACCCAAAATTTAATCTTGGGTGATAAAACACAATAATCTGCATGTCTGCAAGGTGTACAATATAAAGACAAATGAGAAGGTAGAGTTTCATCTGGGACTAAACAAACATTAACTAGGCAGTTTTTCTGGGAACTTCCACATCTGTCTCCTAACACTGATTATTTTAATCTATTTGTCTTCAGCCTTTGTCTATCTAGTCCTAGTTCAAAATCCACGCATCTGTCTAGATGTAAAAGACTTTTACAGTAACAGGAAATTTGATTTAATGCTCTGAAGAATAACTGATCTTTTATTACTACATTATTTTATTTCTTCTCTGTAACTAAAGTAAAAGGAACAGCTAAATGAACACATTTGAAATTTTATTTTGACAGCAATTACAGAGCCCTACAATGAACTACTGCTCCTATTCACTTCTCTGAATGTCTTTAAGATCCCTTCATGGTCAATAAGTATCAAAATATAACAGACTTAGGGCGCCTGAGTGGTGTAGTCAGTTGAGCACCCAACTCTGGTTTCAGCCCAGATCATGATCTCATGGTTGTGAGATCAAGCCCTGCCTCAGGCTCTGAGCTCAGCATGGAGTCTGTTTGGGGCTCTCTCTCCCTCTGCCACATCCCCAACATGCATGCCCTTGTGTGCTTTCTCTCTCTTTTAAATAAATAAATACATATTTAAAAATATATATAACAGACTAAAACAATTCTGACTCGAATTATGGAGACCCAAACTTTGGTCTACATACTTTCAGGAATTTGATAAACTCAAATAATGTATTTTTATCATAAAGTTTCTCACTTTTGGAACATGAGGATTAAACTCCACAGCTCTATGAATTGCTTCCACAGCATTAATTTCTGCTGTGCTTAATCCTCTTCTGGAGGCTGTTTCGGGGGAGAATCTGTAAGAAAACCACAAAATCAAGAAATGAATTTTAAAAATCCATGGATTTTGATCATAATCTAACTTCCTGAATCAAGGATTTCTGGTGACAGCCAAAGACAAAGCCAAATAACTAGTAGACATAAAGGTAAAGCCTTAGGTTCAACATATAAAGAAAAGCAATATAAGAAATGGAAATCCTCAAATTTAGGTAATGAAAACCTTCAGGAGAAGTCCACTGGCACTCTCTGGGAAAGATGATACAATAAGAAACACTACATAGGGACATCCAGAGAATCTCATGAAGCAAAAATACATTTTTATCAAATTTTCACTGAGAGGAAACAGTGTGAATATTCCATTCAAATTCCTATTGAGGCACAGTAATATAAGGTAAAAGAATTGGCTTGCCATTTGGTTTCTAAAAATCTCATCTGTGGAATAAATAGAAATTCATTAAGGACAAAAATACAAGGCAAACAGAATAACTTGGAGTTATAATCCCAGAACAGAGAGGAGAAAACTATTTCCCTACATATACCTTATCATTATCATCATAGCTACTACGTACTCCATGTACTTTCTACCATTGCTTTAAGCCTTTAACACACACAATCCTGAAACAACTATGCTTCAGTATTATTATTCTCATTTTACAGAGAAGAAAAGACTCAAACTGATTAACATGCCCAAATTCCACAGCTGGTATGCAGTAGACTTTGAATTGGAATCCACGTTTATTTAGTTCTAAAAACCATGCTCTTTCCACTACACTAGTAAGAAGCTTCAAAGCTCCATAAGAGCAAGGGTTATTCAAAAGGAAACAGGGAGGAAAAAGCATTGTTTAAAGTCAGTGTTGAAAAACATAATACAGTTTTCCCCTGCTATCTGCAAGTAGAGCATCCTATAAAATCTTTCCTAAGCTAGAACAGCGTAAAGGGAAAAAATAATTACCATTTCATAAAAGTGAGCATCCTGTTCAGATTTCTTGCAGTTAGTGAACACAGGTATTAATGTAGATCTCTTGTAAAAGCAAAGTGGGGTAAAATGAACTTTCAGATAGCAGGGGAAACCTGTATTGAGTTTAGGAGTCTTTCTAAATTACTGTAGTTTTCAATACTTACTTATCTGAGACAGTCCTTGTCTTCAGTAGTGCTGCTGTATAACAGATTGCTGCTGACTTTGGAAGGCTTATATCTGTAATTTTAATTTTCAACTTAGGTAAGAATCACAAAAAATATCTTAAGATAATTTTTAATAAGAATAATTCATGGTACAAATTCAACAGATAGAATATAGTAGTAGAAACAGACATGTAGCTGGAAAGACCTGAGTTTTAACCATGATTCTCATGTTTACTAGCTAGGCATCCCAACTAGTAGCAACTTCTTTAACCTTTAACATTAGTTTTCTCTTCTCAAAATACAAAAATAATACTTTTCTAGCTGAGATTAAATTAAATTATATCTGTGAAAGCCCTCAGCAAATGTTTATAATCATCTGTTTACAATAATGGTATTCAGGGAAAAAGACAGTATAGCTAGAACTACTGAAAACTCTACCTATTCAGAGAGAAAAACTAAGATTCAAAAAAAAAAAAAAAGAAATATTTAGCAGGAGTTAAATCCAGGTAATACAACAGGTGATTTTAATTTTTTTCTTCTTCTAATATGTTTTTGTATTTTATACATTATCTTAAAGGATTTTTTTAATAAAATATAAAAATAGTCAGGAATTATAATTAATTATACCAATCCTTTCTCAAAGAATGCCCAAAATAATGCTATCAGGAGAGTAGTACTAGTGGATTCTCCCAAAGTTTTAGATCCCCAAGTTACACCAGCAAATCGAGAACCAAAGAAGTAAATTTGCTTTTAATTTCTACAAGATTCTAGAATGGTAAAAATTGGGGAATCATAAAAACTGAAAACAGGGGCACTTGGGTGGCTCAGTGGTTGAGCATTTATCTTTGGCTCAGGTCGTGATCCCAGGGTCTTGTGATCAAGTCCCACAACAGGCTCCCCACAGGGAGCCTGCTTCTCCCTCTGCCTATGCCTCTGCCTCTCTCTCATGAATAAATAAAACAAAATCTTTAAAAAAAAAATGAAAACACAGAAGCATATCTAAGTTGTTAGTTTTATTTTGTTTTGAATAAATCAAGTCCTATCTAATTATTGTATTTGGTTCCTAAGCTTGTTCACTGTATCATAAGCAAGCCATGTACCCGATAAGTTACATATGGAAAGAATTTCTCATAAATTTCTCCATAGCCTACACTATTGTGAAGTACTTGTGAAGAATTCCAGATGTTTAAAAGAAATAAACTTCTCTTTCCAAGTATGACACATTTCAAACTTTCCAAGTCATGGGGATTCCCAAGCTAATGGGTAGGAACTTACAATAGAACAAGGGTGACTATGTGGCCTGTACATGCTATGTTATAGTAAAAGATATGACCAGAAACATTATGCTAGTTAGGATGTTTTCATCTCGAGGTTAAAAACTGATACATCGCTCAGAATGAGAATGGTCATGCTGCTTAAAAATTCTCCCAATTCCATTTGTGGTGAACTGGCACTGAATTGGCATAATAATAAAAATAGCCACCATGTATCGACTTCTTACTATTGGAAGGCTAGTAAACAAAGAAATGAAATACCGGGATTTTATCTTATTTTTTTAAAAAGATTTTATTTATTTATTCATGAGAGAGACACAGAGAGAGAGAGAGAGACAGAGAGAGACAGAGGGAGAAGCAGGCTCCATGCAGGGAGCCCGACGTGGGACTCGATCCAGGGTCTCCCGGATCACACCCTGGGCTGAAGGCGGCGCTAAACCACTAAACCACCCGGGCTGCCTGAATACCTGGATTTTAGTGTTGGCTTGCCACAGTTACTAGCTGGAGACCTTACCCAATTACTTAACCTTCTTCAACTCCAGTTTCCTTGCCTACTAACAAAAATTTGTCCCACCACCTCATAAGATTCTTGTACGGATTATATGAAATAGTAAATTACATTTTATAACCAAAAAATATTGCGAAAATGTTACTCTGAATTTCTTATATGCACCATAAAGCAACTTCTGTTAATAGTCTCTGACACTCCAAAACAAATGAGGTACCATCCTATGTCTACAGCACCCGATACTTTTCTAATTATCTCATTTAATACACTATACTTCAATATATACTATTCATTTATCTATATGTTCCTTTTTTTTTTTTTAAGTCAGGGTTGTCGAATTTTTTTTTTTTTAAGATTTTATTTATTCATGAAAGACGCAGAAAGAGAGAGACAGACACAGGAACAGAGGAGGAACTGACACAGGCAGAGGGAGAAGCAGGCTCCATGCAGGGAGCCTGACATGGAATTCGATCCCGGGTCTCCAGGATCACACCCTGGGTGAAGGCGGCGCTAAACCGCTGAGCCACCAGGGCTGCCCTATGTTCCTTTATTAAACTGTAAATCCTACTAGGCCTAAGTCCATGTCTTCTTGTTCAGCATTGTATTCCAAGCCACTTACATTAGTGCTCAATAAACAAATGAATAAATTTTTACAGAAGAAAAGTTCCTCCTTACAGGCTTTTGCTTCCAAAAGTCTTGATAAAAAAGATAATATAACTTGTATCCATGGATTCTGAATACTAACTAGTAATAATGACAAGAGAAAATTAAAGAAATATCAGAATAGGATCACATTCATGATTAAATAATTGAAAAAAAAATTTAACCATGCTATCAACTAAGTCAATTATCACTCACCATCATATTTTGCTAGGACTGCCTGAACATCTGCATAGGCCTGTAATTCTAAAAGTGATTCTAGGAGATTCTCATGGATGTTCAACATGGTAAGAGGAGGAAATTCTTTCATCAACTGTACATTAAAAGGAAAAAAGATTAAAATTATAGCAAAGGAAATCAATAGAGCTGAATCTGATTCATTAAAGCAGAAATTCTTTAGTTTCTTAACAAAACTGTGAAGACTCAACCCTTAGAAATATGTATTAGTTAGTAAATACCCTGTTATAAAACCTACCAATTAAAAAACAATGACTGCATTAAAACAATTGGAACTTAAACCACATTTTCAGTTTCTGAAAGAAAAAATATAAACATCCAATCATCAAATTTACTTACATCTCTCATTATTTTTACTGCTTCTCTTATTCTTCCTAATTTTCTTGCACACATTGCTAATCTTCTTTTAATATATACCAGTACATTGGTATCTCTTCCTATTAAAAAAAATGACATGATTATCATGCCTTACTATTATGTCTATTTCATTAACATATTATCCATTATTTATAAGTAATTATTTGCTTACCCAGAAGTTTCAATGAAAATTAAATTGTGTCAGAATGGAAGACTATTACTGATTACTGATTTTGGGTGACAAACATTGAATGGAGGTTCATTATACTGTTACATTTTTGTATATGCTTGAAGTTTTTTTATAGTAAAAGCTTAAAATCTATCTATCTATAGAATTATTTTCTAACAGTAAGTAATCTGAGTACATTACATATAAATTAATTAGTGTGGGCAGCCCGGGTGGCTCAGTGGTTTAATGCCACCTTCAGCCAAGGGCCTGATCCTGGAGACCCAGGATCGAGTCCCACGTCGGGCTCCCTGCATGGAGCCTGCTTCTCCCTCTGCCTGTGTCTCTGTCTCTGTCTCTCTCTCTGTGTCTCTCACGAATAAATAAAATCATAAAAAAAAATTTAATTAGTATACCTGGACAAGTGTATTTTAATATTAACATAAAATAGATTAATGGGAAAAAATAATTCTATTGAGTTTCTGCATAAACAATCTATTATTTTAATATTCTCTATTGTTTTAACTGACAAACAAAAGATATCCGAAACAAAATTTCCATGGCTAGTGTGAACTTTTGCTCAATAGCTACTAATTAACAAACTATAAAACTATTTCTAGAAAGAGCTAATAAATATTTCTGTAACTATCTCAGAATCATATTTGAGATTATACAAAGACAAATGGTATGGCTTTTTCACAGATGTAGCTTCATCAGCTCCAGACTGCAAAATTATATATTCCCACAGTTGTGTGGTTGTGTGCTATAACAACATACATAAATGAAACATACTGTATACATCAATATTTAGTTTGGAGAGAAAACATTATCCAAATTTTAGTTTCCACAAACAAAAGATTCAAAACTCAACTGCTAGCAGATAATGCTTTATGTAAACATATTTCAATTTATTGCCCGATATTTGCCAAAATCATTAAACTAAAACCCCCTGGCCACAAAAAATTGCAGGAAGCAGCAGCACTACAGATTCTAACATCTTTGGTGGAAGTATCTCAATTCTAACTGAGAGAGTATCCCTGAGTACAAAGAATCTCAGTTGCTTTGGCCCATATGATCTCAAACATATAGAGAAAAGTCAAGGAAAGAAAGAATCAATGCCAAGTGTAGGGCTAGATGCTATTACACTAAAGGGGTCACTTCCTGGCACTATGTAGAGATAATATACAGTCTGAAGAGCACACCAAGTGATGTACTTCTACTCTTGCTTGGGGTAAGGGTAAGGATAAAGGGGATAGCTGCTTATCATTACAAGAAGGCTCTCCTGAATCTTGGATATTTTTGAGTTGTGTTTCTTTGATGATCAGCCCAATTCTCATATGAAATAAATTACCATTAAGTCTCAGAGTAGCACATCTCTCAATAACCAGAGTACATCTGTTCCCTTCCATAAGCATTCTCTAGCTAATGCCCATTTGTCTTGCTAGCTTGTAGACATTATGAATAAAGTAGTTATCTCTTATGAAAGGAAGCTAACTTCTAAGTCTTAAGGAGTTTTTTAAAAAGATTATTGTTGTTTTATGTCTTCAACATGAAAGAGCCAATTTCAGGAGCTAAACAAAAGTCAGGTAATAATCAGTTCAAATTTGCTTACTCAGTTGAGCTTCATGCTGAGGACTTTGGTGCTGGCACTGCTGTGACCGCCTGTAAATTGTTTCTCCTGCCTTGAGTGCCTGTTTAAATAACCTTTCAGCATCTACAATAGTCGTTGCTTCTTCCTCAGCCAGTAGAACATATGCAGTGGCACAGCTGTGAAGAAAGCAAGCAAGGCAATTTTAAGCAAAATGGTAAAGAAGTATTTTCTCTTGGATATGTCCTCTGTTCTGCATCACATTTCCCTAACTTTACCTATACTTTCCATCTTTTAAAGAAGAAAAAAAACCTTCACTTAATATTCTAATTTATTAGGGGCATATTGGTATATTTTTGGTGTGTTTCCACAATTTTTCTCCTTTCCTACCTTCCTTTTCTTCACTTTATTTTCTATTTGCTCTACTTCTATATCCACTCCTTAATCATTTGTCTCATATTTTTCTTTTGTGAATGGGGGATGAAAGTAAGATACACAAAGAACTATCTAAAAAGTAGTTCAAGGGACTATACACTCCAGTGGTTATGCCTGCTCTTAGCCACCATATACTTCATAATATTCATCTAACAGGGGCAAGTACAGGAGAGGGTGAAGGTTGAGAATAAAGATCCATGGCCAACAAGGAATCTTTAACATTTGACTTAGAATTGTATCTTTCCAGGACTAGCCCTATTTCCCAACTCTGAGCCTTCATTATGCGTGCCGCCCTGCCCTCTCTTGGACTTAGCCACAATTGTGTTGCAGCAAAACCTCCTTGGTCTGAATTCTAAGTCCTTCCTCCTATACTGCTGCTCTTACTCATCACACACATGCTCACTCCAAGTTTCCTTTCTTCACCCCACTAAAACACAAAGATTTCTCTTTGTATCAGTTAAATCAAAAGCTGGCCAATAAGATAAATTAACCTGTTTTGGGGCAAAAAAGAGAAACAAAAGTTTCCTTTCCATTCCCAGATATAGCAAGTACATACTCTAGTTCTTCTGGAGAAAATATCCTAGTTCTGATTATCTAAGCCTGCATTGTCCAGTACTGAAGTCCTTGGCTACATATAGTCATTGAGCACTTGAAACGTGCCTAGTCTTAATTGAGATGTGATGTCAGTGTAAAGTGTACATTGGATTTGGAAGGCTTAAAAGAATGTAAAATAATGTAATAGTTTAAAAAACATATCAATTATATGTTAAAGTAATATTTTAATATTTTGAATATAGCTAAAATATATTAAATTAATTTCACTTATTTCTTTTTTTACTTTTTAAATCTGGTTACTAGAAAACTTAAAGTTACAAATATGGTCATGTTATATTTCTATTGAACAGTGTTTAAGCAAAAGAAGAGAAATTGTAGGCAACAGTATGAGACCAGCATAAAACGAAAATGATGGCAAGGGGGGCACCTATGTGGCTTAGCCAGTTATGCGTCTGACACTTGCTTTTAGCTCATAATCTCAGGGTTGTGAGATGGAACCTTGTGTTGGGTTCCACACTCAGCAGGGAGACTGCTTGGGATTCTGTCCCCCCTCTGCCCCTCCTCCCCACCCACATTCTCGCTCTAAAATAAATAAATAAATAAGTAAGTAAATAAATAAATAAATGAAAAACCATTTTTAAATGAAGGTAAGGTAGCTATCAAACAACTGGGGACAAGGAGCACCTTTTGAATATAGAAAATGCAAATCGGACCATTCCAGCATCCTTCAAATAATATATTAAAAAGAACTATATTATAATTTCACTAATCAACAGAGATTTCTCCAGTACATATATTGGATTTTGCTGAAACATTAGATTATTGCTGCTTTAAACAGTAGCATCCTAAACTGCCATTCTAAACCCAACTCAAATGTTTTTTTTTCAAATGTTTTTAAATAACAAAATAAAAACCCTTTTAAAAGATCTAGATGGGTATAAATTGATGCAGTAGAATCAAAGTACAAATATTTTAAATTACAATATGCCTATGATAAAAAGAGGTTCTTTTCCCTGAGAGCTTTCTTGTATTTGTTCAAAAATATTTTTAATGGAGATGTTAATAAAGAAATTAATTTTATGAATACTGAATGAATCCCATTTTTAGGAATGTTGGGTTGTTGTTTAAGGTAAAATTCATCACTTCTCGGCCTTTTGGCTAAGATCAAGTGAAATTAAGGTAAAATTCACGTAATAAAATTAGCCATTTTAAAGTGTCATTCAGGGACTTTTAATATATACATAAGGTTCATTCACGTAGCATGGAACTGTATTTTTAATTCCTTTTTATGACGAATATTCCATTGTGTAGATATACCAATTCTGTATACCCATTCATCACCAATTGATGGACATTTGGGTTGGTTCCAGTTTGGGGCTATTATAATACCACTGTGAACACATCTGCTTCAAAGTTTTTGTTTGAACTTTTCCTTTCAGCACTCCATTATATGACCAGGTGTGGAACTCCTGGGTCATATGATAGTTCTAATTTTATCTTTTTGAGGAACTGCCACACTGTTTTCCACAGCGGCAATACCTAAATTTTACATTCCCACTTGCAATCTATACGGGTTCTAATTTCTCCACATTTTTGCAAACACTTGGTATTTTCTGGAAGTTTTTGTTTTTGTTTTACCATCTTGTGATGGGGCATCACACTGTTTTCATTTTCATGTCTTTAATTATGAATAATGTTGAGCACCATTCAAGTACTTATTGGTTATTTATATGAATGTCTGATTTGAATCCTTTGAAGAAATGTCTGTTGAAATCCTTCATCCATTTTTGGGGTGTCTGAGTGGCTCATTCAGTTGGGCTTCTACTTTCCACTCAGGTCATGATCCCAAAGTCCTAGAATCGAGCCCTGCATCAGGCTCCCTGCTCAGTGGGGAGTCTGCTTCTCCCTCTCCCTCTACAGCTTCCCCTGCTTGTGTTCTGTCAAATAAATAAATAAAATCTTAAGAAAAAAAAAAGAAATCCTCCATTCATTTTTAATTGCATTATCATTTTGTAATTGAGTTCCAGATATATTCTGGATATTAGACTCATCAAATATGGCTCACAAATATTTTCTCTCATTCTGTGGATTGCCTTTTCACCTTCTTGATAGTATTCTTCAAGGCATAAAAGCTTTTAATTTTGATGAAACCTAATTCACCTAATCTTTTCTTTGTTGTTGCTTGTGCTTTTGGTGTCCTATCTAAGAGAGCATTTCAAGTCTAGTCATAAAAATCTGCCATGGGCAGCCCGGGTGGCTCAGTGGTTCAGCGCCGCCTTTGGCCCAGGGCATGATCCTGGAGACCTGGGATCAAGTCCCATGTTGAGCTCTCTGCATGGAGCCTGCTTCTCCCTCTGACTGTGTCTCTGCCTCTCTCTCATGAATGAATGAATGAATAAATAAATAAATACATAAATAAATAAATAAATAAATCTTTAAAAATAAATCTGCCCCTGTGCTTTCTTTTAGGAGTTTTATAGTTTTAGCGCTTATATGTAGGTCTTTGATTAACTTTGAATTAATTGTGTATGATGTGTGTAAAGGTTGATTTTTGTATGTGGCTATCCATTTGTCCAGCACCACTTGATGAAAAGACTATACTCTTTTCCCATTGAATGTTTTTGGCACCCTTGTCAAAAATCAACTGACTAAAGGGCTTCTGGATGGCTCAGGCAGTTGGGTATCCAACTCTTGGTGTCAGCTCAAGTCATGATCTTGGGGTTGTGACACTGATCCTCACTTCAGGTTCCCCACTCAGTGGGGAGTCTGCTCCTCTCCCTCTCCCCATTCTCTCGCTCCCTCTCTTTCTCTTAAATAAATGAATCTTTTAAAAAAATCAATTGGCCATAAATGCATGGGTTTATTTCTGGACGTACAACTTGATTCCATCTATCTAGATGTCTGTCTCTATGATTTAATTTCTGTAGCTTCACAGTAAGTTTTGAAATCAGGAAGTGAGTTCTCCGATTTTGTTTTTTCAAGGTTGTGTTGGCTGTTTGAGGGCTCTTGTAATTCAATGTGAATTTTAGGATCAGCTTGTCTATTTTGTAACAAGGACAACTGAAACTTTGATAGGGACTGCAATGAATTTGTAAATCAACTTGAGGATCTTGTAGATCCTGAGCTTCCGTCATAACAATATCAAGTATTCCAATTCATGAGCATGGGATACCTTTACATTTATTTAAGTATTCTTTAACTTTTTCAACAATACTTTATCATTTTTAGTGTATAAGTCTTGTACTCCTTGGTTAAATTTAGGTATTTTAACATTTTTAAAAAATTTTTATTTATTTATGATAGTCACAGAGAGAGAGAGAGAGAGAGAGAGGCAGAGACACAGGCAGAGGGAGAAGCAGGCTCCATGCACCGGGAGTCCGACATGGGATTCGATCCCGGGTCTCCAGGATCGCGCCCTGGGCCAAAGGCAGGCGCCAAACCACTGCGCCACCCAGGGATCCTGGTATTTTAACATTTTTGATGCTATTGTAAGTGGAATTGTTTTTTAAATTTCTTTTTCAGATTGTCCACTATTAGTGTATAGACGTACAACGGATACAAGGAAGGACTAGCTTCTGCCATTTTCCTATTTGTTTTGTATATGTCCTGTGGACAGTAACTTTGTTGAACTCTTCTGCTAGCTCTAACGGCTTTGTGTTCAGATTCAATGAGATTTTCTATACATAAGATCATGTAATATGTGAATAAAGACAGTTTTACTTTTTCCTTTCTGATTTGGAAGTCATTTCCCCCACTCTTCTTGCCAAATTGCACTGGATAGCACTTCCAGTATAATGTTAAGTAGAAGTGGCAAAAACAGATGCCCTTATCTTATTCTTGAGCTTTGAAAGAAACCTTTACAGTTTTTCATCTGTAAATATGTAGTTAGTTAAGGGTTTTTCACAGATGCCCTTTATCAATTTGAGAAAGTTTCCTTCAATTCCTTTTTGACTTTTTAGTGTTTTTATCATAAAATAGTGTAGGATTTTGTCAAATAGCTTTTCTGCATCAATAGAGATGATCATGTGGTTCTTGTTCTTTTTTCTATTAATGTGGTGGTATCTTACATTGACTGATTTTTATATATTAAACCACCCTTGCTTTCTTGGGACAAATCTCACTGTTCACGGTCCATAATTCTAATATGGTGCTGGATTTGCTATGTGGTATTTTGTTGAGGATTTCTGCA